CATAGAATTTTATAATCTTTTTTTTATTTAAAAGCTTTAGATTTAATAAGTTTATTGTATAATTTTTATTCTAATATCTTTTTTAATTAGCTTGTTATAAATTTTTAAAAAGTGTCCACAATAATATGATAGGTAGCTGTACCTTTTTATGAAAGACACACAGTGATTATACTAGCAAATACTATTTATAATGTTATTAATAATTTTGATCTTGGAGAAAAAATTATCAGTAACTACAGATAATGCTTTGAATATGGATGTGTTTGGATGTAAATTTGCACATTTGCTTTTAGATAATCATGAAAATAGATTATTTCATCGTATTAGGTGTGCAGCACATGTTTTAAACCTAATAGTAAAAGATGGTCTTGATGTAGCTGGATCTTCAATTAAAAAATTTAAAGAATTTACATCAGCTATACGTTTATCTTAAATTTTTTTTGAAGAATTAAAAAAAATATTTGAAATGAAACAACATTCTTTCTTAGTACCTGAAATTGACATTTGCACCCAATGGAATTCTATATATATAATGATAGAAAGATTACGTAGAATTCGTAATATTACTGATATTTTAGTTACATCGAATCCATTGCTTATAAATATTTATCCTACTGATACTGATTGGCAAGAGCTTAATGTTAGTATAAATATTTGTTAAGAATAATAATAATAATTAATAATAATAAATGTTTATTTCTTTTAGATGCTTGTTACATTACTCGAACCAATTTATCATGCAACAAATCTTTTTTCTTCATCAAGCTATCTAACATTTGGAGATCTTTGTATGGTGTTTCCTATTATTGCAAATACAATAAATAATATTCAGAATGATAATAATATGTTACAACAAGTTGCACAAAAGATGAAAAAAAATTAGATAAATATTGGGATGAGCTTAAAACTACTTTTAATGAAGCTGTAATTCTTGACCCAAATAACAAGCTAATGCCATTCGATATTGAAGAGAAAAGGTATGAAGCATGCAATGCTATTTATACAACTTATGAAACAAACTATGCAATCAGAAGTGATAACATTTCGATAACAAAACCTTCTGGATCAGAAACTTCTTATGGTTATTTTCACAAGAAATATGGTGTATCTATAAATCATGATGATATTCTTAAAGAATATCTTGATTTACCTGTTGAAGAAATTAATATTCTTGATTACTGGAAAACTAAATCTAAAAATTCTCAATGGGTTCAACTTGCTTGTATGGCACATGACTACTTAGTAGTTCAAGCAATAAGTATGGCAAGTGAACAAATGTTCAGCATAGCCAAATTTACTATTAGTCCAACTAGAAATCGTCTTGAGCCAGAAAAGGCCTGTGCTTCTCTTTGTCTTAAAACTTGGTTTGCAACAAGCTTAATAAAGTATGTAGAAGAAAATTAAAGCAGTACTGAAAAAAAATAAATAAAATATAATAAAGTATATGGTTATTTTTACTTTTGGGGTATTGAAAAAGATTATCAATATAAATTTGTATAACAAACTATTAAAAACTAGTTAGATTTAGTTTATGTAGTGCACTGCCAGTTCAGAACCGAAACAGTCTATTTTAACCGGTTTAACATCCCTACAGTAAATTTTCGCTATGTATTCATATTTGGTTAAATTAACATCTTGACTTAATGAGTATTAGTCATTGTAATTTAATTAAATATTATTAATAACTTTTATTAAAAAAAATCTTAAAGATTCTGAAGCTATAAAGCTACTATAGTTTGAGCAAATCATCCAATTCCTTCATGTTAGGAATTTTATTTTGAAATTAAAATTATAAAAAATAAAGGAAAAAATGGGTAAATATTAATAATTAATTTGTGTCATAAAGATCAATTTTGTACTTATAGTATTTTATAAACTATATTTTAATTTCTGAACACATTTTTTTAACAGAATGATTGAAGTTGAATATTGTACAAAGTGATAAAAATAAACAATTCAGCTTATATAAATAATATACTTGTAATGACAAATTGTTATTTTAAGAATAAATAAAAATCAACAAAATAAATAAATTAAATTTGAAAGTAGAAGATTTTTTTATTTTAAACTGTTATTACAATCAGGAATATTACCAAAAATAGAGAATAATCTATCATGATTTGCAAATTTTGATTGGCTCTTGACAGTCTTTTTAGAGCCAAAATTTTTGCATTTTTGGTATTCTATTTGCATTAAAACAATATCGATATATAAAAATTTAAAAACTTTTTTAGATTAATAATCAGTAAGGATCATCTTATAAACTATTTTTTTAAAAAAAGTAAATAAAATATGAAAATTTGCAATATATATATATATAAAACTAACATTACTTCAAAAATACTAACTAAAGCTTAAAAACAATATCAGAATTCTTAACAACTAAGCAAAGATCAAAAGTCCAGAAACTTCTTTGCATATTTCTTAATTTAGTTTGTAATTATAAAGATCAAGGTTTAAATAATTGTAGAATGCCTTCAAACTTGAATATTGGAAAAATGCTGATGGATTATTAGTGGCTAAAAAGCTTGAGGCATTTAGAAATCTTATACCAGAGCTTAGAGATTGATAATTTTCTAAATTTTCTATTTGTGTAAACTATTATAATCAAGTTGTATATACTGATCACTTTTATCAACACTTTTTAGGTAGTTCTAATAAGAAAGCTTGACTTGATAATAGTTCAAACACTGATGAAATGAGTGTTGATGGTATATTATGCTATTTGTCAGAATTTGAAAGAGTTGCAGAAAATAATATATATATAATTACATATTTACAACAACAAATAAAAAGTTAAACAAACAACTTGAAGAATGTCATCAAGTAATAGCTCAGTTAAGAGAGCTATATAAAGAACAGCATGAAGCAAATAAGCAATTAACTAAATGGTAGAATTCTTATTATAATAATCAGCATAAGCATATTCAGGCCATTATTAATATTGTACTAATTGAATAAGAATCATTATATGATGATGTTGAAGCTCTTATTAGAAATAATAATAGATTTTTTTTAGAAAATCTATAAAATTATACTCTACAATCATGGCTAAGTCAATGTAATCCAGTCATTATAAAATGTATTGAAACTCTAACTAGTAACAGTTTTAATATAAGATCTAAAAGTGCTGAAAAACTTTTTAAAAAGGCTATGTCTGTTGATTCAGTATATGAATCTAGGCATGGAAAATATATATTAGAAGTGGGTCTCATGGTGTCAGTCATCAAATATTCCATTGCTCGGTTAAAAACTATCATTAATATTGATAATCATATTACAAGCACAGAAAGTTATTCTAGTTTTCAGAATTGGCTAAATGAATTAAGTGACAAAGAGGAAATGTTACCAAAAGGTCTTTTATTTTTAGCATTTGATAATGAACAAAGAGGACAAAAAAATTATTTGGACCAAGGACTTAATATGGTTATATTTCATATTGTTACCAGTTTTGTTGCTTTTAATATGAGCTCTTAAAATTTTATTTAGCATACTAATATGCTCTAGGTCATTAGTTTACTTAGTAAGGAACAATATGAAAGCATTTTTGATATTATACTTGAAATACAAGAAATTATAAATCAAGAATTGCATACTTTTATTTTCGAAATAATTGATCTTTATATAAAGAAAAGTTATTTATAACTAATACAATTGATTACTTGTATCTAATATAGGTTTTAGTCATTGTAATAAAGAATGCCTGAATTGTAAAGAAAAAAATATTGACAACCAAAAGCAAGTTTGCCCCAAGTGTAAATCCTGTTTATCTATATTAGCAAAAATGTCAAAAAAATATAAAAAAGTTAAGGATATAACAGACAGACCAATCTTATTTAAATCATATAATTTCAAAAAAGAAACTTGACAATTTAATGCACTGAAAATTAGTATCACTCAAAATATGCTTGCTGATCAAGAAGTTAATGTTTCAGAAATATTTGGTTCTAATCCTCTTGATATTAATCCTAATATGACTGCTAATATTGAAAAGGTTCTTCTTCATATTGAAAATATTACAGGAATTAAAGATGGAACTCGTAAATGAACAGTTGTGATATATAATAGCATTTCATATCATAAAATGGCCAAAATTAAAAACAAATATCAATGGTTGGTTCTTGTTCCTAGGCAATTGCATAAGAAAATGAATATGCTTTGGGCATATATAGAATTAAATTAGTAGGTTTTTATTATTTTTAAAAAAATTTTTTTTTTGTTTTTAATTTTAATTTTAATTACTTAAAACAGAAATATTGACCTTAAACAGTTCACAATATCCCAAGGATATAAGACTAACAGCTAACTTAATTATTTTAAAAAATGTACAACTATCATAAGTTATAGAATTCTATCTGTAACATTTATTGGCAAGCTATTGCTATGGAACTAATATGGCCATATGTTAAAAGCCATCCTATTCCATCAGTTGAAGGATATTTGTCTTGGGTAAAGATGCAAAATAATCTGCTTTATTAAGTAAAATTCAAACAGATAATATTCGACATTGTATAATTATTAGGAATAGTAAACAAAAACATTTTAAAAAGTTTTTTATATGTTTTTTATTAGTTTAAAATTTGGTTTAAAACATCTGTGTCTGATCTTGAAATTTAGCTAAAACTAAAAAATACTATTTCTTGATTAATTTTAGTTTCAGTTGATATGTATAATTTTTTTAATTTGTCTATGACTAAATTTGAAATTTTTAATTTTTACTAATGAATTTAAAAGTTTATAATTGTAACAAATACAATACAAATTGCATTATATAATTTTAAATCATGATTACATCAATTTTTAATACTGTGTTTTAAAATATTTGCTATCTCTAATCTGTACATTTGTAATTTTTACTAATTAAATTTTTTTTAATAGATATTTATTTATCTTTAAGCCATTGTTAATTACAGAATAGCAATTAGAGAAAATATTTCATTATTGAAGAGAGCATCCAAAAAAGTTTTTTCTCCAATATGGTCTGCATGAAGGTATCTGATATATTGTCAAATTGAAATTGCTAATGAAATACAATTTATATGGCTTGACCCAATGATAAGAGATATTATAAAGAAAAATTGTGTAGTTTCTCAGTCAGGATTCTTTAACTAGCATCAAGGGCTAGATGCAATTCTGAAAGAAATTAATAAGGCTCTAAAAATGTTAATACCTTCTGTTTTACAAATAAGGCATTGAAAGATTGCTGCTCAAAATTGTAAAATGTTCTTTGAGATATATAAATAATTATTTATAACTCAGTTTTGAAATTTAAATTTGTATAAATTAATTTATATTTTAAATTCAGCTGTGAAATAATTTCTTTAATTTAATTGGGTATAATAATCTTCAAACAACTGGTCCAAGAATCTGACCAGAAGTGATTATGGAATGCCAGAGGTTTTGAGCTTGTTTAAAAAAAAATAATTTCACTAATTCAACAATGGGCTTAAAAATTGATTATAAAAGTTTGGAAGAAGAATATGAACTAAGTTCACAATTAATAAATCTCACTAATTTGGCTAAGCAAGCATGGTGTAAGTATATTACTAATGTCTTTATTAATAATAGTTTAGCTCCTTTATTTAGGCAAATCCTGATTACAAAACAAGAAGCTATAATGCAAACAAGCAAAGCATCTATGACAAATGCAGAAATTATTTGCAAAATAGAAGTGCTTTTTGAACTTACAGATAATATTGTTCTAAAAAAATATCATAGAATTAAATTAAAAAAGCATGGCAAATTATTAATTATATTGGAAGAAATAAGGTTTTTAATTAATTCAAATAATGAATCTGACAATTGTGATTATATTCAAAATTTAGTGATACCAGAAAGTGAAGCAAACAAATAGAATATGCAGTTTGAATTAGAATTCTTCTTGATTTGAAGTTATATTTCAGTGATTTTGTTACTTATAACTATTAAATTTTTAAAAATAAAACTGTATAATCCTTTTTAAAAGGGTCAAATGTGTTTTTTTATTTAAATAAAATAAAATTGCAAATTATTATAGATTAAATTGATTATATATGATTATTTAATATTAATTATTATTTAAATTTTTGATAAATAAATAATAATAATTTAAAATTTAAAGTTGTATACAATAATTATGATGTAATTAATATTAAAGAAATTCATTAATTTATTATCATCCTTAATTATAAAATTATTGCATTATGATTAAAATACAATTCCTTATTACAGTATTACTGACACAAATATGAGATTAATTATTATAAATTTTTATTTATCTTTTCTATCCAAAATCATAGTGATTCAATGTAACAAATTCTTATTGAAAGTTAAGAATCAAAAAACCTACTATAAACATACTCCTTTTCATTGTTAACTCTATCATCATCAGCATTTGTAATGGACCCAATTGGACCTGGCAATTGGAACAATTCAATCATTTGCTAGGTTCAATTGGGTCTATTACAAATACTGATCATAATGATATTGAGGCTGTAAATGTTTGCTGCTTGAGTAAATAAATTTTTTTGTAAAACCCCTGGAACTACATGGTATAACATCATTAATATTATTTTGTTAAATATTGGATGTGTTATATGATACAGAAAGTTCAAAATTAGTAATATATATACTGTGTAAATTAACTTACAAAATATAAATAAAATGTCTTAAAATCAAATGCAATTTAAATCACTATTTAAAATTAATTTCCAAAAAACATTTAATTTTTTTATGAATATTTGAAATAAGATCCTTTTATTTAAGAATATTTTATTCTTTCAGAATATTCTAAAAAAAAAAAAATTAGTACAATTCAATATAATAAACTAGTGCTCCAAAAGAGTTATTCAGGTCAAGTTTAGGGTCAACCTAAACCCAACTCGAGTAATGTTTGGTTGTATTTTAATATCTACAAATTTGCATTATGTATGATATAATTTTATTGTTATAAAATTATTTTATAAAATTAATTAATGCAAAAATCATTTTTTTTTAATTTTGATTTGAGTTGATGTAAAGGGTCTTGATGTCAGATTTTAACTCAACTCTTTAAAATTATTATACTGTATTTACGTGAAATAACGCGCACCTGCGCGTTATTTCAAGGAGATGCGCGTTATTTTGAGTACGCGCATGGGTGTTATTTTAGAGTTAAAGTCTAATTTCTACAAAATTAAAATTTTGAAATAACGCCCATGTGCGTTAATTTTATACACAAACTTTTCGATTTAAAAAATTTTTTACTCATACCAGAATTCGTCATTTTGCAAAAATTTTACATATAATTAATTCGTCAACAAGC